GTACTAGTCGCTTGGACTAATTGTTTCCATGAATCTTTGGTTTTCTTCATTCTTCCTTGCTCTGGATGAGGAGAGACCCACCGTTACATCTAGATGGCTGCTTGCAAGCTTTTAAGATCCCAATTGCTACTCACCAAAGTAGGATGTGAACCAAGGTTTTGTGTAGTATGTTATGCCAATTGAGCTTAATGTCCCCTGCGACTATGGTCCGAGCCTACAAGTCCAATTACTCACTCTTTCTGGGTAGCTGGCTGTGACCAAGATGTGACTACAACCTTCTGTCTTGTCAGCTCTACTATATACCTGGGAATTCTTACAGAACATACCAGTACACTTGTAGAAATAATGTCTGCCAACCCTATACATGGCCTTGAGGCATACTCCCCCCTGCATAGACATATCTAATTGTTCAGCCTGTCCACCCATCTATCCACCCATATATCCATGTTTGCCTTCACTGACAATACAGTACTGTGTGTGCAGATGGTTCATCTTTGTTGTCTCTACCCCCATGCACCTCTCTATGGTTTGCTCTTCCTCAGTGCCACTGTATAGCTGGGAATTTAAAGAAGAATTCTTGACTGTGCTCCTGGTGAACATTTAAACAGCAGTTTAGATTCCCATTGGACAATTTCTACACAGTCTGTCCAGTGGGGTTGGTTACATTCTTCACAATATGTCCACATTCTCATTTGCATTCTGGTTCTTCTGTTTCTACTCGTCTAGTTTCTCTGCCCCTTTTCATCTTTGTTTTAAAGTCATTGTTGACCAAATTGTTTGCCATTTAACTTGACTGATAATCTGAATCCCACTTCTTAGATTCTCAGTAGTTCTGTTCCCTAGGAGAGAGCTGGCTGCCCTCTACAAATGAGCAGGAAAAAGAAGACAGGGTTGAAGTTGCATTTCTTATCCTGCAGCTGGAACACTGTGACCTGTCCCATATTCTGAATCAAGTGTATGAATGGTAAGAGTGACCAACTTGGCCTTCCTCTTCAATTCCTTAGATGAATATTAGAGTTAAATTTGAGCAAGTATTTTTGTCTGTTTAATTAATGCTAACCCTAAGTGTTCTTAGGCTTGCAAATTTTAAGCCTCAAAGTTGGTAAACTTTTTCACAAGCATATTTAAGCCCTTCTAACACAGGTAAAGGGAGATCCCCCAGGCAGGAAGTGGGAAGCCAGGGTAAATGTCTGGATACAGGTAAGGGGAGAGCCCCCAGACAGGAAGCAAGAAGCCAGGGCCAATGGCCATATACAGGTAAGGGGAGAGCCCCCGTGCAAGAAGGGGGAAGCCAGGGCTGATGGCCGTATACAGGTATCTGGCCAACAGCCAGATATAGGTAAGGGGAAGGCCAGGTAGTGAGCATAGTGGTTTGGAACGCTAAGGGAGAAGAACGTGTCTGTCAGTTTGTCATACTGTGGTGGCTTGCATGTTGCTGTGAGGCTGGAGGCTGTGCCACCAGTGTTTCAAATGCCAGCAGGGTTCCCTGCGGTGGATGAGTTTTCAGTGGAGCTTCCAGACAGACAAGCTTAGGAGAAGGAAGAGGCCATCTACTTCTTAAAGAATTAGCCAGGGAAAACCTTATGAATAGCAGAGAAACACTGTCTGATATATTTATGAATAGCCCTGAAACGTTGTCCAATACAGCACCAGAAAATTAGCCCCTCAGGTCAGAAGGCACTCAAAATATGACTGGGAAAGAGCTGCCTCATCACAGTAGAACCAACTTTAATGATACGGATAAAGTTGAGCTTTCAGGACCTCCGTTTGCTGACATGGCACAACTCAAAATGAGAAGAAACAGCTGCAAACATCCATTAATACTCAGAATATGGAATGTATGAAGCATGACGCTAGGAATATTGGAAGTTATCAAAAATGAAATGGAATGCATACAGATTGATATCCTAAGCGTTAGTGAGGTAAAATGGATCAGTTTTGGCCATTTTGAATCAGACAACCATATGACCTACTATGCTGGGCATGACAAATTGAAGAGGAATGGCATGGCATACATCATCACAAAGAATGTTTCAAGATCTATCCTGAAGTACAGTGCTGTCAGTGATAGGATAATATCTGTACCGCTACAAGGAAGACGAGGTAATACACCTATTATTCAAATTTACGTACCAACCACCAAAGCAAAGATGAGGAAATTGAAGATTTTTATGAACTTCTGCAGTCTGAAATTGACCAAACATGCAATCAATACGTGTTAATCATCAGTGGTGATTGGAATGCAAAAGTTGGAAACAAAGAAATCCCTAGTAGTTGGAAAATTTGGCCTTGGTGACAGAAATAAAGCAGGAGATAGCATGATAGAATTTTGCAAGACCAACGACTTATTCATTGCAAATACCTTTTTTTTCAACAACACAAATGGTAGCTATACACATAGACTTCACCAGATGGGGTACACAGAAATCCAATTGACTACATTTGTGGCAAGAGGCGATGGAAAAGCTCAATATCTTCAGCCAAAACAAGGCCAGGAGTTGATTGCGTAGTAGACTGTCAGCTGCTCATAAGCAAGTTCAAGTTGAAGACAATTACAACAAGTCCACGAGAGCCAAAATATGACCTTGAATATAGCCCTCCTGAATTTAGAGACCATCTAAAGAGTAGATTTGCTTCATTGAACACCAGTGACTGAAAACCAGAAGAATTGTGGGATGACATCAAGAACATCATAAATAAAGAAAGCAAGAGGTCATTAAAAAGATGAGAAAAGAAGAGAAGACCAAAATGGATGACAGAAGAGACTCTGAAACTTGCCCTTGAGCGGAGAGTAGCTAAAACAAATGGAAGAAATGACAAGCTAAAAGAACTGAACAGAAGATTTCAGAGACCAGCTCAGGAAGACAAAATCAATTATTATAATGAAATGTACAAAGACCTGGAGTTAGAAAACGCAAAGGGATTGGCATTTCTCAAGCTGAAAAAACTGAAGAAAAAAATTCAAACCTCGAGTTGCAATAGTGAAAGATTCTATGGGCAAAATACTGAGTGATGCAGGAAACATCAAAGGAAGATGAAAGGAATACATAGTGTCACTATACCAAAAAGAATTGATCGATGTTCATCCATTGTAGGAGGTGGCATATGATCAAAAACCAATTGTATCAAAGAAAGAAGTTGAAGCTGTACTGAAGGAATTGGTGAAGAACAAGTCTCCAGGAATTGATGGAATACCCATTGAGATGTTTCAATACAAAGATGCCCCGCTGGAGGCACTCACTCAGCTATGCCAAGAGATTTGAAAGACAGGTACCTGGCCAACTGACTGGAAGAGATCCATATTTGTACCCATTCCAAAGAAAGGTGATCCTACAGAATGTGGAAATTATTGAACAGTATCATTAATTTTGCATGCAAGTAAAATCTTACTGAAGATAATTCCAAAATGGTTGCAGCAGTGTATTGACAGAGAACTTCAGGAAATGCAAGCTGAATTCAGAAGAGGATGTGGAACATGGGATATCATTGGTGCTATCAGATGGATCTTGGCTCAAAGCAAAGAATACCAGAAAGATAATCACTTGTGCTTTATTGACTATGCAAAAGCATTGATTGTGTGGATCATAACAAACTATGGATAACATTGAGAAGAATGGGAATTCCAGAGCACTTAATTGTACTCATGAGGAATCTGTACATAGACCAGGAGACTGTCATTCAAACAGAACAAGGGGACACTGCATGGTTTAAAATCAAGAAGGGAGGGCGTCAAGGTTGTATCCTTTCTATATACTTATTCAATCTGTACATTGGGCAAATAGTCCAAGAAGCTGAACTATATGAAGAAGAATGTGGCATCAGGATTGGAGGAAGATTCATTAACAATCTGCGATACACTGACGACACAACTTTGCTTGCTGGAACTCAGGATGACTTGAAGCACTTACTGATGAAGGTTGAAGACTACAGTCTGCAGTATGGATTACACCTCAATATAAAGAAAATAAAAATCCTCACACTGGACCCATAAGCAGCATCACGATAAAGATAGAAAAGATTGAAGTTGTCAAAGACTTCATATTACTTGGTTCTACAATCAACACCAATGAAAGCAGCAGTCAGGGTGTCAGACAATGTATAGCAGTGGGCAAATCTGCTGCAAAAGACCTTTTACAAGTGCTGAAGAGCAAAGATAGCTCCTTGAAGACTAAGGTGTGCCTGGCACAAGCCATGGTTTTTTCAGCTGCTTCATATGCATGTGAGATCTGAACAATGAATAAAAAAGACCAAAGAAGAGTTGATGCTTTTGAGTTGTGTTGGTGTAGAATACTGAAAGTACCATGGACTGCTAAAAGGACTAACAAATCTGCCCTGGAAGAAGTGCAGCTGGAATGCTCCTTGGAAGCGAGAATGGCCAGACTTTGTCTCACTACTTTGGTCGTGTTGTAAGAAGGGACTATTGCCTGGAAAAGGATGTCATGCTTAATAAAGTGGAGGGTCAGTGAAAAAGGGGAAGGCCCTCAACGAGATGAATTGACACAATGGCTACAACTATGGGCTCAGGTACAGCAAGGATCATGGGGCTGGCACAGGACTGGGCAGTGTTTCATTCTGCTGTATGTAGGGTCGCTGTGAGTCGGCGATGACTTGACCACACCTAACAACATCACCACAGAATACATCCACCACCCATTTGCCAGTTTGTCATACTATTGTGGCTAGTGTGTTGCTGTGATGCTGGAAGCTATGCCTCAGGCATCAGATAGCAGCACGTTCCCTCGTGGTGGACAGGCGTCAGTGGCACTTCAGTCTAAGGCAGACTCAGAAGAAGGACCTGGTGCTTTATGTCCCAACGAGTTGGCTAGTGAGAACCTGACTAACAGTGGGGTGTTGTCAGATCCAGTGCCAGAGATGGGCCCTCAGGTGGGAAGGTAATCAGAACATGATAATAAAGAGATGCCTCTTCTGAGTGGAGTCAACCTCAATGACATGGGTGGAGTGAAGCTTTCAGGGACTTCATTTGCTGATGTAGCATGACTAAGAATGAAACAGCTGAAAGTATCCATTAGTTATCAGAACATGGAATTTATGAAGTATGAACCAAGGAAAATTGGAAGTCATCAAAAATGAAATGGAATGCTTAAAGATCAATATGCTAGGCATTACTGAGCACACAATCATATGTATGGTCTAGTATGCTGAGAATGACAAATTGAAGAGGAATGGTGTCACATTCCTTGTCAAAAAGAACATTCAAGATAAACCCTGAAGTCCAGTGTTGTTCCTGATAGGATAACATCCATATGCCTATAAGGAAGGCCAGATAATACAACTCTTACTCAAATTTACATACTAAGCACTAATGTGTAACTCTTTACCAACTCCTGCAGTCTGCAATTGATCAATCATGCAATGAAGATGCATTGATAATTCCTGGTGGTTGGAATGTGAAGGTTGGAAACAAAAAGGAAGCATCAGTAGTTGGAAAATACTTCCTTGATGTTGGAAATGATGCTGGAGATGGAATGATAGAATTACTTCCAATGAATAAGTAACAACTTATTCATTGGAAGTACCTTTTTTCAACAACATAAATGATGACTATACACATGGATCTTGCTGGATAGAATACACAGGAATGAAATTGACTCCATCTGTGGAACGAGGTGATGGAGAAGCTCAATATCCTCAGTTAGAATAAGGTGTGTGTGTGTGTGGGGGGCGCAACTATCCCATCAATTGCTCATATGCAAGTTCAAGTTGAAGCTGAAGAAAATTAAAACAAGTCCATGAGAGCTAAAATAAGACTTGATTATATCCCGCCTGAATTTAGAGACCAGGTGAAGAATAGATTTGATGCATTGAATACCAGGGACTGAAGACTGGATGAATTGTGGGATAACATCAAGGACATCATATGTGAAGAAAGCAAATGGTTATTAAAAAGCCAAAGACAGGAAGAAAGAAAAAGACCAAAATATATGTCAGAAGAGGCTCTGAAACTTGCCCTTTAACACAGAGTAACTAGAGCTAATGATAGAAATAATGAAATAAAAGAATTGAACAGAAGATTTCAAAGGGCAGCTCGAGAAGACAGTGAATATAATGAAATACGCAAACACTTAGAGTTAGCAGACCAAAAGGAAAGAGGGACATGCAGGCATTTCTTAAGCTGAAAGAACTGAAGAAAAAAATTGTGCCTTGAGTTGCAATCAATATTGAGGGATTCTATGGGAAAACTACTGAATGATACAGGATGCATCAAAAAGAAGATGGAAGGGAATACACAGAGTCACTGTACCAAAAGAAATTGATGTTCATCCATTTCAGGAGGTAGCATATGATCAAGAACTAATTGAAAGTATTGAAGGAAGAAGTTCCAGCTGCACTGAAGGAACTGGCAAAAAGCAAGGCTCCAGGGGTTGACAGAATTCCCATTGAGATGTTTCAGCACATGGATCCAAAACTGGAAGTGCTCAGGTGTCTGTGCCAAGAAATTTGGAACATGGCTATCTGGCCACCCAACTGGAAGAGATCCTTATTTATGCATATTCCAAAGAAAGGTGACCCAACAGAATGTGTAAATCATTGAACAATATCATTATTATCACAGACAAGCAAAATTTTGCTGAAAATAATTAAAAAATGACTGGAGACGTTCATCAGCAAGGAACTTCCAGAAGTTGAAGCTGCATTCCGAAGACAACATGGAGCGAGGGATATCATTGCTGGTGTCAGATGGCTCTTGGCTGAAACTAAAGAATACCAGAAAGATGTTCACTTTTTTTTTTTTTTTTGGAGTATTCACAGGCATTCGATTGTGTGGGTCCTAAAAATTTATGTATAACATGAAGAATGGGAATTCCAGAATGCTTAATTTGCTCGTGCAGAACCTGTACATAGACCAAGAGGCAGTCCTTTAACAGGACAAGGGGATACTGCATGTTTTAAAATCAGGAAAGATGTGCATCAGAGTTGTATAGTTTCACAATGCTTACTCAATGCTTTTGCTGAACAAATAGTCCGAGTAGCTGGACTGTATGAAGAAGAACATAGCATCAGGATTGGAGGAAGATTCATCAGCACCTGTGATATGCAGATGACAGCCTTGCTTGCTGAAATGGAAGATGACTTGAAACACTCCCTGGTGAAGATCAAAGACTACAGCATTCAGTATGGATTACACCTCAACATAAAGGAAACAAAAACCCTCACAACTGGACCAATAAGCAACATCATGATAAACAGGGAAAATACTGAAGTTGGCAAGGATTTCATTTTACGTGGATCCATAATCAACACCCATGGAAGTAGCAGTTAGGAAATCAAATGACATGTTGGATTGGGCCTATCTGCTGCAAAGGACGTCTTTAAATTGTTAAAAAGCAAAGATGTCAGTTTGAAGACCAAGGTGCACTTGACCCAAGCTACAGTATTTTCATATGCAAGATTCATATGATGCATTGCTTCATATGTGAAAGCTGGACAAATGAATAAGGAAGACTGAAGAATTGACACATTTGAAGTGTGGTGTTGGTGAAAAATACGGAATATACCATAATCTGCCAGAAAAATGAGCAGATGGGTCTTGGAAGAAGTACAACTGGAATATTCCTTAGAAGTGAGGGTGGCAAGACTTTGTCTTTCTTAGTGTGGCCATGTTATTAAAGACGGGTCCCTGGAGAAGGACATCATGCCTGGTCAAGGAGAGGGTCGGTGAAAAGGAGGAAGGCCCTCGGTGGGATGGAGCAGCAGGTGGCTGCCGCAGGGCTCCCGTAGCAGTGATGGAGAGTGTGGCGCAGGGCAGTGTCTCGTTGATAATTCATGAGATTGCTCGCAGTCCGACCAGCTGGACAGCACCTAACAACACCACAGTGGAGTAAGTTATTTTCAATGTTGCTCACCAAAATCTAAGCAGATGTTTACCTCTGTAATGGGACATTTCCTTTAGAGAAGGGAACAGTCATACATCTTTCCAATTTCCTTTTTGTCTCCATCTGTGACACGTATCACACATTTAAGATTAACTCCACGTGAATTTATTAATCCGTGTGCGTGATAGAAATATTACAGCTATTTTGCAACATAAGGAAGTCACTGTTGAACTGTGAATAAAAGACTGTATTAACAGGCTTACTCTAAAACATTCACCTCTGACCGTGGATTTCTCTATGTGCTGGCCTAAGAGCTGTGGGCCTTATCAGTGCATTTAAGCCAGGGTTCCATGACCTAGTTATAGTTCTACACACCGTGTGTTTGGCTCACATGTGGGATGTTGTTTGGAGGATGCAGAGGACGAGCCCAGAGGGAGGTGTCTGGAGCTGTTGCCTTCCTCGGTGGAAGGTGCTGGAAGTTTGGGTGGGTGCATGGGGCTAGGGGTGAGGAGAGGGAAGGACCTGGGTGAAGACTACACTTGAGGCCCTGCTGAGTTAGGAAGCTTACGTCTCTTGTCGCACGACAGAAGTTTGTCTGTTAATTGGTTTATCTTATTTGTGAACTGAAAAAGAGGAGAAAACACAGGCCGGTATTTAAATTCTTACTAACTCATAGTTGTGCATTGTTGTTGTTGTTGTTGTTATGTGCCGTCGAGTCGGCCCTGACTCCTAGCGACCCCTCCTTGGGTTTCCGAGGCAGTATCACTACGGAAGTAGGATTGCCAACCTTCCTTCCGAGGAGTGGCAGGTGGGTTTGAACCGCCAGCCCTCTGGTTAACAGTCAAGTGCTTTAGCCACTATGCTACCAGAGCGCCTAGTTGTGCATTAGGGTTTTGTAATTTTTATTTTTCTTCCTGAAGGGTGACTAGGGGCGTTAGTCTTGGGGGTTTCACCCATCTCTGTCAGAGAAGTTCTTCTGCTCCTTGGAGTCATGTCTTCATCTGGCAGTTCTGTCTCAGGGCTTGGTGGCGGTCACACTGGAGTCTGGCGGCGTGTAGAGGGCCTCTGCAGTGAAGTTGTCCTCGGCCTCGTTTATAACCCAGGAAGGAAAGCCGTGAAGGTCAGAGACGGCTGTCTCCGCCCTGCCTTGTGGCATGTCCACGAGCATCACACTGCACCTGTGCTCCTAGGGTTTCCCGGGCCGACTTTGGGGAAGTCGGTTGCCAGGCCTTTCTGGGTGGGGCCTCTGAGTGGCCTTGGGCCTCCCCTTTCAGTCAGAGCTGAGAGTTCGTGCTGGCACCACTCAGTGTCGCCAGCGGTGCTTCTTGTCTGCTGACTCAGGCGCCCTTGTGTGTCAGAATGGAACTTCTCCATGGCATTTCCTGGCTGCCATGGTAACAGAAGCAAGTCACCACCCGTTTCCCACTGGGTGGACTTGAACCCCCAACCTTTAGGTTAGCAGTTTAGTGCAGCCCCCAAATATCTCAGTATGGGCCTTGTCAGGGTGTGATTATCACTCACGGGCCTGGTCACGTGCAGAAGCAAATGGAGCTGCCCTGGAGGTGCCCACGGTGCCCACTGCATGTGTGGTCTGAGCCGTGGTGCCAAGCTGGAGACTGGCACTGGACCTGCAGGGCCATCAGCACCTTTCCCTTTTTCTCTTAAAAGCAGCCGTCCTTCTGTGAACACCGCTTGTCTGTGGATCGGAAGCTCGGCCGGGTTATTCATCCTCAACTTGGCAAACTTTGAACTGGAAGCTGTTTTGCTTTACAAAGGTGAGAGCAGAGTTCAAATCCTCCTTGCAGTCAATTTGTGTTATTTTGCTTTCTCTGCCTGGTACCTAGGGTGGCAAAGGTCTTGGCATAAAAGCCTGTTTGTCGGACTGAGGGTAAGCCATGTGTCGTCATGGGAGGTGGGGGGGATGGTGATTCAAGGAGGTCAGAGCTGGGGGTGCCGGAATCCACAGGACACATTCCTGTTCACTCTTAGAGCCTCTGTGGGGCTCTCAGCACAGCTGACCACACCCCTGAAATGGGCCCTCTGCTGTCCTTCACTGTACAACCCCCTCTGCCCGGTTCTCACTCTCCTCACCCCACCTCGGACCAACCTGCTCCTCGGTCCCTCACCTCACTTCAACCAACCTACCTCATTCCCCCTCAGACCTGCCTGCCTCACTCCTGTGTCTCTTCATCTCTCCCCCACCCCCAAAACTGCCAGCCTCACTCCTGGATCCCCTCACCTCACTTTAGACTGGTCTGCTGCATCCCTTCATAGACCCTCTGACCTGCCCGCCTTGCTCCTGGGTCCCCTACACCCTGCCCCCCGCCATACACACACACACACACACACACACACACACACACGTCTGTGTCCGTTTGCCCCCAACCCCTGACCTGCCTGCCTCATTCCTGGTCCCCCCCTCAGTTGCGCCTTCCTCACTGCTGGCTCCCCTCATTCCCCTTGTCGTAGCCACATGCCAGGGCCTGGTGCCGTGTAGCACTCGCACGGTGAACGGCAATGGGTCATTAGGCACTTTGTTCCCTTTCCTTGTCTCTTTAACGTTGTTCATTTCTCTCTTCTGGAAATGAAGACGTGACGGGCCTCAGTGTTAAAGTGGCCGGCTCGTGTGCTATAACGAGCAAACCCGCAAGGCAGAAGGTTAGTGATGCACTGCCTGCTGTGTGTAATCTCTGTAAGAAGCATTTACTGTAATTGGTACATCCTTCAGTGTGATGGTACAGTGATTGGCTTGCTAAGTGAGATGCCGTAACGGTTACAATGGCCAGGCCAGTAGTGTGGCTGTGACTAAGTGAAGCTGGTGTAATCATCAAAGTTGCATCGACGGTTAGAGTGATGTGTGCACACCCCTCCTTTCTTCTTTACGCAGTGCTGTTACTCATCACCGCTCTGCTCGGACCCTTATAGGTGCTTTGCTTGCTCGCGGCCATGTTTGGAAATAAGATAGCCGTGTTGGAGGTCAACCTTGCCGCATTTGTGAGGTCTCAGCTGAGCCCTGCTGTGCAGAAGAACCTTTCTGTGTTGGCGAGGTAGGAGGTCTTTTTAAGTGGGATTGTGTGTGTATGTGAGTGTGTGTAAGAGTGAGTGTGTAAGATAGCTGTTGAGTCTCTCTGAAGCCCATGACGGACAGGCACTAGGTCCTGTAGCAACTGGAAGAGCAGCAGTGGGAGGGGAATACTTCATACGGACAGGAACAAAGGACATGGCCCCTAGCTAGACACCAGGCCAGTGTCTATGCATGGGCACCTGTGAGGAAGAACATGGACGGCATCGATTATGGATCCAAGCAAAATGAAATCCTTGACCAATTCAATCTTTTGTCCATTTATCATGATGTTGCTTATTGGACCCACTCTGAGAATTTTTGTTTTCTTTATGTTGAGGTGTAATCCTTAGTGAAGATGGAGTAATTGAGTCTTTGATCTTTGTCACTAAGTGCTTCAAGTCATCTTCACTTTCAGCAAGCAAGGTTGTGTCATCTGCATATCTCCAGGTTGTTAATGAGTCTTCCTCCAATCCTGAT